GTTTTAAGTCTTCCTACCAATATGACCGAGTTGCGAAAACAAGGTGAAACAACTTCTATTCAACGAAAGGAGACTGCGACCACACAAAAGGCCACACCATCTTGGTCTTTATACCTTTTAATTACCCAGATTAACACATTCAGACCTGACTTTCACATGTAAAAATTTACATTTCACTAAGTCCACCAGAGTTACTTACAGACTAACGCAATCTCAGTCATTCTTTTTTTCTTTGTTTTTTTTATTGGGTCATTAAGCCTTGATGACGCAGGGCTGATGTTTAAGCTTTTTTATAATTACTCTGACTTATGACCGGTTTTGCGTAGACGTTAGCATACATACAAATACAGACACACTCGAGTATTCGTGACTTAACCAAACTTTTCTATATCCATTTATATCTATCTATATCTTAAATTTTGCTCTTAACGAGTATACATATCATATAGAAGAAAGCCGATTAATTTTTTTGACTTAGTATTAACTTGAGGCTTTGACAAGAATGAGTCCCAGCTCTGACTATGTTAGTCTCATGACGGGCAAAAACACAGCCTGTCTTCGCACGGAACGTTGGAGGATGTCTCGTTGACTGCATCAATCTAAACGTCATTCAGACCAAAAAGCGAACCACTCGACGTCTTCTGGTGAGATTAACCTATGAATCTCTTCATCATGTACTTCCATACTAAATGAAGGTATCGTTTTATCTCAGAGATTCTTGTAAACCTGCATCTTCTTCTTATCTAAACAGCTTTTGTACTTTGGTTCGTTTGCTTTTTTACCCCATGAGCATAGTCTTGTTTAATGCCCTAAAATTCTATTCATCTTCTTGCATTATTTAAAGCACAGCACTGCTTTTGCATTTTTAATTATTTTGTTTCCCAAACTTTTCCCAGAACTTTATCCCGTTCCTAATGAATGCCACTATATTTGTATACTTTTTTATCCCTAACCCACGGCTTTTATAGCTTCTTCTTGAGCACCTTGAATGCTTGGTAGCAAGGCACGAGAGGTCTTTAAGAATGACTGTTGTCAAGCGCCAAGTCAATAGCCCAGGTGGAGTGAGCTCTGAGGTTGAAGTTCTTAAGGCCTTGAAATCTCTCTTTGAGCATCATAAGGCGCTGGACGAGAAGGTACGGGAACGTCTTCGCTCAGCTTTAGAACGGGCCGCACAACTTGAAGATGAGGTTCGTGCCTCAGCTTCAGATAGAGCTTCTCTTCGTGAACAGCTTGCTGCTGCTCTAGCGGGTGTAGCTGCTGTTGCGGCGGCGGCAGAGCAGAAGCATCAACAGCAGCTACAACATTTGCAGCACGGAAGCACGCCTGAAGCAACCTCAGGTAAGTTTTGTCCATTTGTATTATGTTAAGTAACCTTAGTTCTTTATTCATTTCCTAACCTTATTATGCTATAATGGGTTTCGCTCATTTAATTATTAGAATAATCTTTCTATTCTCTGCATTCCAATGAATATGCAATAACCTGGTATAGCGTACTCAGAATTTCAGCTCTTAGGTAGCAATTTTTCCTTGGCTGGGCGAAATCTTGTTATGGTTTTGCTTTAGCGTATGTTGTTTTTAATGAGGTATCA